GATCAAAGGTCTGGAGACATGGATCTCTATGAGGAGCTTCTTAAAGAGCTGGGTATGTTTAGTCTGCAGAAGAGAAGGTTGAGAGGAGACATGATAGCCATATATAAATATATGAAGGGATTTCATAAGGAAGGGAGAGCAGGCTTGTTTTCTGCTGCTCTGGAAACTAGGACTCAGAGCAATTGGTTCAAATTACAGGACAAGAGATTCCACCTGAACATTGTGAAGAACTGTAAGAGCCATTCAGCAACGGAACTCTCTGTCTCGTAGTGTAGTGGAAGCTCCATCATAAGCTGGATGTCCGTATTTTGATTGTCCTTTTCCTGCTTGTCAGGGGATTGGACTAGATGGCCCATGCAATCTCTTTTCAATTCTATTATTCCATGATTTCACTTCCCAACCTTTCTCAGATTTTGTTGTGCTAGCTACTAGGGTTGCTGGAAATGTCAGTCAACAGCATCTGAATTCTACATGCTTCCCATCCCTGCCTTAATAGCACTATTCCACATCCCTATATTATATTGAAAGGGCTTCTTATTGACTCGGTGTTGATCTCAGCAGAGGTTGGTTTTCTCATCTCCTTGGGCTTTCCACGAAGACACTGAAGTCCTCCTGCCCCTTACCACTCAGTGCCTGACACATAGTAGAGAGATTACAGAAGTGCCTGGCTCTGTCCCTGTTGCCAAATGAAAAATTATCAACCAGCAAGACCTCTAGAGGACCATAGCAAAATTCAACAAATGATGCAATCACTTCTCATCTAGCTATGTAGATATAGCTAGATGCATCTACATTCTTACTGTACTCCACCACTAATAGAATATCTATAGTAGGTCAAGAGGTGGTAAACAACTCACAGTGTAGCTCACAGAACTATGACACAAGGCTGAGCAGTGCAGGATTGCAGCCATCTTGCTCTATGATGTAATTGTCGTAACAATTCAGAAGAAACTTCATTAGGTCCAAGGTGTGAAGCAACAAGCTATGTGCAACATGGGGTCTTAATTTTCATATGTCCTCAATTACACGCACGAGAGGCAAGGTCCTTCTGCACATCTTCCATCTCACCTGTTTTCAATTTAACTTGTAGGACTGTTGGAAGTTGCACCTGCAGGTAAACTTGACAAATGGCTACTTTTCCCAGGGGGGCAAGCTGACTAAACCTATCCAAGGAACAAACATAAATATGCAAAGCTTCAAAATGATTCCCCTTTTTACTACAATTCTTGGGATCTCACCTTCCAGCTGCAATGAATGGGGATTCTAGAGGCTGTAGTCCCCAAGCATATTTTTATTCGTTTTGATTAGTATGTATTAGTATTGATTAGTATTTATTTATTTATTTATTTATTTACCATACTTGTTTCTCGCCTTTCTCACCCCCGAAGGGGACTCAAGGCGGCCTTACAAAGGCAACAATTCAATGCCGCATGTACAATACATTTATTTATTTATATTATTTATTTATTTATTTATTTACGGCGCTTATATGCCACCCTTCTCACCCCGAAGGGGACTCAGAGCGGCTTACAAGAAGGGTGGGACTGAGAGCAGGGCCTCCCCTGATGATCTTATCTTCCAATGTAGAACATAGAGGGTTATACATTTGGACAGGTAAGCTGGGTAGGAACCATTTAGGGCTTTATAAGCCAGCACTTTGAATTGTGCTTAGTAACAGACTAGTAGGGACTGAGTATGGAAATAAGACAAGTGGCAGTGCCTGGTTTTCTTTAACAGTGAACAGGACTTCAGTGATCCCACAGAATCCTTCAGATCTGACAACCTGCCTTGGTTCAGCCCTTTTTGTGTCCCTTTCTTCCTTAACTTCTGGTTTACTGAGTTTTGTTTTGTTTTGGGTTGTGTGTAAGAGAGAGAATTGGCCATCTGCAAGGACGTTGCTCAGGGGACACCCAGATGTTCTGATGTTTTACCATCCTTGTGGGAGGCTACTCTCATGTCCCTGCATGGTGAGCCAGAGCTGACAGAGGGAGCTCATCCGCACTCTCTCCAGATTCGAACCTGCGACCTGTTGGTCTTTAGTCCTGCCGGCACAAGGGTTTAACCCATTGCGTCACTGGATGGTCCTGCTTATTGAGTGGCAGTAATAAATAGCATTTTGCTATCTCCCCACTGAGTGATAATACAGCTAGGGTCTTATGCATTAGGTGCAATGGTAGAGGTCAAAACTCTGTACAGATCATGCACAAAATTCCACAGTGGGTGCTGGAGAGCAAGCATAGTTGAGTGCAAATGTTGTCGAGGATGTGGATAGAGAGACCAAAGCCATTGCAGTTGCCTAGTGAGAGAAGCCAGTATTCCAGAATAAATTTCACCAAGTTGAAGAGAAAGCCACTGAGGTGTTATTTCATTCCAGCTGGAAAGGATGATGCAGTAGCCTGCCAAAAATCAACATGCCCACTGGGCAGAGAAATACAAAAGGGGAAGTCATGTCAGCTCCCCAAAGTCCATAAAAGTTTATAAAGTTTGGCAAGAGTTTATAAAAGTCCCTATAAAGTTCATGAAAGTTCATGGAAAGTCCATAAGAGTTCATAAGAGTTCTTGGGGGTGTGGTAGAAGGCCCTAGGAGCACTGAGTAGCTGGAGTCCACTCATAAAACAGGAGTTTCATTCATAAAAAAGGGATCCAATTAATAAATAATAGCCAAATTGGTCAGATGATAGTTTGGGTTACAGGGGCGTTGCCATGTAGGGCCATGGAGCCATGGGAAAAGCCTTAGGTTCCCACATGGGGGAGAGATAGGGGATTATGGGATCATTCCAGCCTGGTGTCCTTAGCAAAACTATGAATCCCCTGATTTTGAACTATCTTTTACAGAGTCCTGGGGGGAGGGTCACCTCCAGTTACACAAACATGGAAGCCATCACCCAGAATTTCCCAATACTATTTCAGATTAGGGTTGCCACAATCCTGGTTTGGCTGGGTTTTGTCCAGATTCTTGGTATGTTGTCCTGGAGCATGATACAAAGGAGGAAATAGGAGTGAATGAAAAATCAGTTCTGAAAGTGGTGGAAAGCAAAAATCAAGAGCAGGGCCTATAACATAGCTTTGCTGGGAGGCAGGCGGTGGTTGCCCAAAACCACATGGTCAATTCCACAAGCGAGCAGAGTTTTGAACTACTTGGGTCTTTTTCTGCCAAGCCCAGCAATTTTACTATGACTGTTCTTTCAGAGCAGCTGTAACTGTGAAAAAAAATGTATATGGCCTGAACGTTGAATCATAGTGGCGAGAAAAAGTGTAACAACTAATGTGCTGAATTTGCATAACTAGAATGCAAATTAAAGTAATTTGCATAATTAGATTATACGCAGCTTTGAGGAAGTGGAATATGGCAACCCTGTCCAGAGGTCCCTGAGGATGATGTCATTGCTGTGTATACAGCTGTAGGAAAAATAGCAGGAGGATTCTGGATGTTGTAAGCTCAAAGAGTAACATTTTCAAGAATTGTGAGCAGATCACAGTAGAGGACCCCTTCCTGCTTTATAGCAACCCATGTGCCATAATCGGTTATTGACAGTAAGCTCACAGGTCAAGCGCGGAGAGGGACTTACTGCTGTTTTGGGGGAAGTAATAGATGATATTTTGCTCAGATTGTTATCTTTTCCTCTTTCAGCTAAGGTTCTCCTAGACCAGTGTTTCCCAACCTTTTTTTGCCAGTGACCACTTTGACCAGGGACCACTCTCCAACATTAGTACCAAAAGAGTTACGAATCTAATCAAATCAAATCATTTATTTTGGTCATAGTCCACCACAGGAAATAAAAGTCGTAGTTTCATGCAAACTTGGTACGTTTAGTACATTAAGAATATAAATATAAATACTGAAGCACAATAGGGGTTATGAATCAATTTTTGGTCAATTTTAGATTCAGGTTGGTTATTTGGGATGCTGATTCAGAAAATTGTATTGGATAGACCACATCAGCTCTAGTTTCTGATACAGAACATATGTCATCCAGTAGTAGACATCTGCTCACCCACAGAAAACCACATTTTTATAATGTGTGCTACATGTTTTTAATTCTGTTTTATGACTGTTGTGGCATCGAAGTGCTGCCAATTATGAGCCACTTTGAGTGGCCTTTGGGCTGAGAAAGGTGCCATAGAAATACTGTAAGTAAGTAAGTAAATAAATATTTAGTAATCTAGAACTGATGTGGTCTATCCAATGCAATTTTCTGAATCAACACCCTGAATAACCCCAGAAGGCCTAAAAATGAAGACACCAAGGCACCCTCGCTTCCAGGAGCCACATGGAATGGCTCCGTTCAAGGGGAGGGAGGAGGAGAAGCAGTCTGGAGGCTTGTTGTCACACCTTTCATTGGTAGTCAGCCTCTCACCTCCAGACACACCCGTTGCCTCGGCACTATAAGAGGGTTTTGTGAGACCAGTTGCTTTGGGTTGCTGTAGGTTTTTTGGGCTGTATGGCCATGCTCTAGAAGAGGTTGTGAGGCCTGAGGACGCATGCCATAGATGCAGGCAAAACGCCAAGAGAGAATGCTTCTAGAACATGGCCATACAGCCTGAAAAACCTACAACAACCCAGTGATTGCAGCCATGAAAGTCTTCAACAATACACCAGTTGCTATCATTGTAACAGTGAAATCTGAGATCATATTTTAGTTTTTGGGGACCACTATGGACCATAGGTTGAGAACCACTGTCCTAGACCCAGTAGCAACTTTGCACTTGGGGCATGCCAATTATTGAGCGCAGGGCGCTAATTGGGTTATGCGTCCCTTGATTGGCAACATATTGCACCAGCTTTTTTGAAACTCCAGGCCCAGCCTGCTCTGGTTTCACTTGGAACTCCACATTTCTGTCTTTGCAGCTCTGATGAGAGGCAGTCCCTTCATGTAGGAGGCGTTGATAACAGTGTTGTTGTTGTATGTGTTTTCTTCTGTGTAAGTCTGTGTTTGTGTCTGTCTCCCGACTGCTGGCCCTGACCCCCTTCCCGCCACCCCCTGATCCCTCTCCCACAGATGGATTCACCAGCGAAGGGGAGTTCCTGGAAATCACAGAGATCAACCGGCAACAGGCAGGGGAGTACGAGTGCATCACGGCCAACGGGGTCTCCACCCCAGACAGCAAGCGAGTCCTTATCACGGTCAACTGTAAGTGGCATTGTGTCTCCTCCCAGTTCTGTCTTTGTATCTTCTTTTTGTGGTGGGAATAGTTGGATCTGCATAAGGAAACTAACTCAAAGGATAAGATTCTTGGAAGACTGCAAAGATTAAATCACCCTCCTCCCAAAATTATTTTCAGCAGCCTTTTCAGATTATGTGCTCTGCTAGCTTTTAAGACCCCATCTACACTGCCATATAATGCAGTTTAACTGCCCTAAAATGCATTAGATGAGTTCATACTGATTTTTTTATTGTGTCAGGAGTGACTTGAGAAACTGCAAGTCGCTTCTGGTGTGAGAGAGTTAGCCGTCTGCAAAGATGTTGCCCAGGGGATGCCTGGATGTTTTACCATCCTGTGGGAAGCTTCTCTCATGTCCTCGCAGAAGCTGGAGCTGACAGATGGGAGCTCACCCATCTTGCAAATTTGAACCGCCGGCACAAGGATTTAACCCATTGCATCCCCGCAGCTTCTAGTCTATACTGATGATATAATGGCAGTGTAGATGGGGCTTAAGTCACAAGATACTGTGGGCCCTTTGTATCCCCAGGGATTAAGTTCCAGGATTCCCCTGCATTGCAGATACCAAAATCCATGGATGCTCAAGTCCATACTACAATAATGTAGTAAGAAGGATATTTTTGGAGGTGTGTGTGTGTGTGTGTGTGTATCAGGCCATGGTTAGCCCTGATAGCTTGTTTAACTTGAATTAGACAAGGCGGGAAACTATTACAATCAACGTCTGGTTTATTGCCTTAACAATGGTGGATTGCCAATCAATGCTGGGCTACCTAGCACAAAATCTGTATACCCCAGCATATTGTCCATATTCTGTTGTCTACAGCATCTATTATCTGAGATGACTGATCACTAATGGTATGGTGAACCCTAGCTGTAGCATCATTTTCAACTTCCAAGGTAGTCTTTCTGGCTTTTTGGTAAGTAATTATAGTATTTAGCTGAGAAGAGGCTCAGCTTTGGAGTCAGGTTTTACCTTCTCCCATTATTTTCCCCCTGATCTCATCATTCACATGTATGCTTAGATGAGAGAAAAGGTCTGTCTAGTTTGGCTTTCCATTCTCCAATGCCTGTGGGAATCCCCACAGGCAGAACATGGATCCCCTCAAACTAGTAAAACTTTATGAATGATTATTATTGATACTTTGTGAATGGCTGGTGTTTGTTTACAGAGCCTTGCATGAGAAGGTTTCATTCAGCATTCCTATTAGAAATGCTCTGCCTACCATCCTTTGAGGAACAGAACTCCACAAGGATATAGCAGAGCTTGGCAATCTTGTCTAGGCAATAAGTCCCAGAGTCTTCCAGCCAAGAGAGTTAAAGACCAGACAACTTCTCCAAACTCTAATTCAGCTGCCACATTCAATCTGCTAAATACCATTCTATGGTTCTCTCTTCTCAGACCCTCCGACCATAACGGATGTGAAGGACTCGCACCCCATGATTGGGAAGACAGCTCTTCTGCGCTGCGAAGCCATGGCTGTGCCACCTGCCGAATTTCAGTGGTTCAAAGATGACAAACAGTAAGTCATCCCTCCTTCCGTCTTTGGGTACTTTCCCCACTGATGAGCAGTTATGTGAATGTCCTTAGAAGAATATTTGGCTTTTGGGCTAGCACAGTGCTGTGGGCGGACGTTGTGAATATAAAACAGGAGTTACTATTTTGGATACCAAAGGAACACAGAAAATGTATCATTTCTAGGTGCAAACAACATTTAATATCTCCCTCTGATAATAGACATTTGGGGAATGCAAAAAATTTCTTTGCAGGGCATTTTGTTGGAACTCAACAACATTCTGCACAAGTGTATAGTCCTCATCAAGGAAATAGATAGGCAGATAAATCAGTTGTCACTCTATTCTCTCCTCCTATCTCTTGCTTGTTAGGCTAATACTTTTTCTGAGCACATGGCAAACCTCCAAGTTCTCCATTTTTGCAAGCATGGAGAGAGACAAGATTTCTCCAGTGATAGTTAAATGGTTAGGACCTTTCCTATCTAGAAATGTAGTTCTTTCAGTAAAGTGTTTCATAACTCTTAAACTTGACTCTGCTCCCGTATTGCTGAAGCTCATTTGCTCTATTGTAGCATTTCTCAACCTGGGGGCCATGACACCTGAAGGGTTGCCAAAGACCACCAGAAAACACATATTTCTGATGGACTTATGAACCCTTTGACGGAGAAGGCTGAAAATCTCTCCACCTATCTCACCAAAAGCCCTCCTCTACTGTGATTGGCTAGCCTCTCAGCCAAGGGGAGGGCTGTTTCTGAGACTTCCAAGTGGGGAGGGGAGAGCAGGCATTTTTGGCACATGGGTGCATGGTGCATGGGCAAGGGAGAGCACACAAGGCTGGAGGGAGACTTGCAAGTCCCTTCAAGGCAGGAGGGAAGGCACCCATGGGACCGAGAGTGGCCTGGCAGCATCAGGAGGAGGAGCAGTAGCAGAAACGGCTTAGGTAATTTGTAATGCTATTTCATAGAATCATAGAATCAAAGAGTTGGAAGAGACCTCATGGGCCATCCAGTCCAACCCCCTGCCAAGAAGCAGGAATATTGCATTCAAATCACCCCTGACAAATGGCCATCCAGCCTCTGCTTAAAAGCTTCCAAAGAAGGAGCCTCCACCACACTCCGGGGCAGAGAGTTCCACTGCTGAACGGCTCTCACAGTCAGGAAGTTCTTCCTAATGTTCAGATGGAATCTCCTCTCGTGTAGTTTGAAGCCATTGTTCCGCGTCCTAGTCTCCAAGGAAGCAGAAAACAAGCTTGCTCCCTCCTCCCTGTGGCTTCCTCTCACATATTTATACATGGCTATCATATCTCCTCTCAGCCTTCTCTTCTTCGGCTAAACATGCCCAGTTCCCTAAGCCGCTCCTCATAGGGCTTGTTCTCCAGACCCTTGATCATTTTAGTCGCCCTCCTCTGGACACATTCCAGCTTGTCAATATCTCTCTTGAATTGTGGTGTCCAGAATTGGACACAATATTCCAGATGTGGTCTAACCAAAGCAGAATAGAGGGGTAGCATTACTTCCTTAGATCTAGACACTATGCTCCTATTGATGCAGGCCAAAATCCCATTGGCTTTTTTTGCTGCCACATCACATTGTTGGCTCATGTTTAACTTGTTGTCCACGAGGACTCCAAGATCTTTTTCACACGTACTGCTCTCGAGCCAGGCATCACCCATTCTGTATCTTTGCATTTCATTTTTTCTGCCAAAGTGGAGTATCTTACATTTATTAGAAAAGTCAGTCCTTCCTTTTGTTTTTTATTAATGCTCCCATTAGAAAATGCATAAGGATGTGGGTGAACTATAACTCCCAAAATCCCCAAACCCCACTAGTATTCAAAGTTGGCCATGTTGGGTCTGTGTGCCAAGTTTGATCCAGATCCATCATTGTTTGAGTCCACAGTGCTCTCTGGATGCAGGTGAACTACAACTCCAAAATTCAAAGTCAATGCCCACCAAACCCTTCCAGTATTTTCTGTTGGTCATGGGAGTTCTGTGTGCCAAGATTGGTTCAATTCCATCATTGGTGGAGTTCAGAATGCTCTTTGATTTTAGGTGAACTATAAATCACAGCAACTGTAATTCCCAAATGTCAAGGTCTATTTTCCCCAAACTCCACCAGTGTTCACATTTGACATATTGAGCATTCATGCCAAGTATGGTCTAGCTCCAACATTGTTTGAGTCCACAGAGCTCTCTAGATGTAGGTGAACTACAACTCCAAAACTCAAGGTCAATGCCCTCCAAATCCTTCCAGTATTTTCTGTTCATCACTGGAGTTCTGTGTGCCAAGACTGGTTCAGTTCCATCATTGGTGGAGTTCAGAATGCTCTTTGAATTTAAGTTAACTATAAATCCCAGCAACTATAGCTCCCAAATGACAAAATCAATAACCCCTACTAGCCCCACCAGTATTCAGATTTGGGCGTATCGGGTATTTGTACCAAAGTTGGTCCAGTGAATGAAAATATACCCTGCATATCAGGTATTTGCATTATGATTCACAGCAGTAGCAAAATTACAGTTATGAAGTAGCAACAATAATAATGTTATGGTTGGGGGTCACCACAACATGAGGAACTGTATTAAGGGGTCATGGCATTAGTAAGGTTGTGAACCACTGTTCTATTCACAAGAAGCTTCTGATCTGCTGCTACTGCACCATGTTTACATGCTTTTTCTTTTTTGGAATTACCCAACACATTTCACATAAACTCCTGTTCCCATATCTTCCCTATATACCCTTTCATGTATAGCTTCACAATATCCATTCCAAAGTACTGCAGGCTGCTAAATTTTAGTATCGCAGCATTGAAAGGTACCGAAAAATGACTCTCAAGTCCTTCCACCTACCATGCAATCAAATATATCCAAAGCACTTGCAAAAGATGGCCATCCAACTTTTATTTAGAAGAGCTCCAAGACAGAGAATCTATTGCCCTCATAGGCAGTCTCTTAGTTATAGAAGGCCCTAAAGCTGGTTACCATGCTCCTCAGATAGCCGTTATTGTGACTCCGTGTGTTATTGGCCTCTCTCTAGCTGGTAAAAGCAGAAGCGGAAAGTGACTGGAGAGAAAGAAATAAAACCTTGCTTGCTCCGGTATACATAAATCTAGGAAATTACTTTTACCTGCCACACTCATTCACGTTACATGTTAGAGTATTAATACTTTTTATTTCCACCACTCCTGCTATTAATGTTACTGGATTCTCCCTATCGTCTCCATTGATGAGAAGGAGCAACAAGGATCACCTAGCCGTGACTGTTTAGAAGGACTGAAGTTCATGAGTAATGAAAGGATTGTGGTAGTCAATGAGAGAAAGACCTTTGTATACTTTTGAATACCAGCAGACAGTACTCTCCTCTGGGTTTACACTCAGCAGGTTGCACCATTTCTTTAGGTTGCACCATTTCTCCCAGTTTGACTGGAAATGAAATATGACAGATATGTGTAGACCCTGGGGAAGATTGAAGCTACTGAAGGACCCAAACAGACATTCATTTGTGATGGTTAATACATTTTTTTTCATGTTCTGGGGTCAAATGATGTGAAAGTTGTGAGGCCGCCTTCCATAGGAGGTTCACTTGGCCCCCTTTCCACAAGTTAGCAAAGACTATTTTATTTAGGAAGACCTTTGTTTCTTAATGTATTGTTAAAGATGGTGCTTTTAATAAGACATATAGGGGGTCTGTCTTTTATTATGTTTTTTTTAAAAAAAAACACACACACACACAACAACTATGTTTGTGTTTTAAGCAGAATTTAAGTAGAATTGTACCTTAGTTATCTATATAAATAAAAATGTAATGTTCATTTGTGGGTTTAACTGAACTCAAAAACCACTGGATGAATTGACACTAAATTTGGACACAAGACACCTAACAACCCAATGTATGTCCTTTACTCAAAAAAATGATTTTGTCATTTGGGAGTTGTAGTTGCTGGGATTTATAGTTCACCTACAATCAAAGAGCATTCTGAACTCCACCAATGATGGAATTGAACCAATTTTGGCACACAGAACTCCCAAGTCCAACAGAAAATACTGGAAGGGTTTGGTGGACATTGACCTTGAGTTTTGGAGTTGTAGTTCACCTACATCCAGAGAGGACTGTGGACTCAAACAATGATGGATCTGGACCAAACTTGGGATGAATACTCAATATGACCAAATGTGAACACTGGTGGAGTTTGGGGAAAATAGAATCTTGACATTTGGGAGCTGTAGTTGTTGGGATTTGTAGTTCACCTACAATCACAGAGAATTCTAAAACCCCACCAACGATAGAATTGGGCCAAACCTCCCACACAGAACCCCCATGACCACCAGAGTGGGCCACAGCAACGCGTGGCAGGGGACGGCTAGTATATAGTATTCCCTCGCTACTTCGTGGTTTGCTTTTTGCGGACTCGCTGTTTCACGGGTTTTTGCCTCCTGGCAATGATGGAGTGTGGAAGGGGGAGAGAGGCAGTTATTTAAAAAAGAGAGAGAGGAGATGCAAAGCAGTATGTAAATCATGGCCTTATAGCCCCTTCCTTATAGCTAGCAAAAGAAAAAGGGGTGTGGTGCCTTTAAATATCTCCTCCCTTCTGCCTCACTCTTGGAATGTGATATATATATACAGTGTTCCCTCACTTATCGTGGGTGTTACGTGCCAGGACCACCTGCGAAAAGTGAAAATCCGTGAAGTAAGATATATAGCATCCCTACTTCGCGGATTTTCACTTTTCGCTAGTGGTCCTGGAACATAACACCCATGATAAGTGAGGGAACACTGTACACACACACACACAAACACACCCTTAGGCCATATCACAATATCAAACCAAACAACAAGGCTTGATAAGACTAGATTGCACTCTATGTAGTAAGTTAAGATGAGACACTTGTAACAATACTGTAAATAAACATGATAACACTGTATGGTTGAAGGCTTTCATGGCCAGAATCACTGAGTTGTTTTATGGGCTCTATGGCAATGTTCCAGAAGCATTCTCTCCTGATGTTCCA